CTTTTGCAGCAGATTTGCCCAATGCAATGTGTCTTTTGATTTCTTGACTGCCGCTTCCATGGGTGTTGATTGTGGATCCAAATAAAATGAAATCCTTGACAACCTCAATTTTTTCTCCATTTATCATGATGTTGCGTATTGGTCCAGTTGTGAGGATTTTTGTTTTCTTTACGTTGAGGTGTAATCCATACTGAAGGCTGTGGTCTTTTATCTTCATCAGTAAGTGCTTCAAGTCCTCTTCACTTTCAGCAAGTAAGGTTGTGTCATCTGCATAACGCAGGTTGTTAATGAGTCTTCCTCCAATCCTGATGCCCTGTTCTTCATCATATAGTCCACATTCTTGGATTATTTGCTCAGCATACAGATTGAATAGGTATGGTGAAAGGATACAACCCTGACGAATACCTTTTCTGACTTTAAACCATGCAGTATCCCCTTGTTCTGTTCGAACGACTGCCTCTTGAGCCATGTACAGATTCCTCGTGAGCAAAATTAAATGTTCTGGAATTCCCATTCTCTGCAATGTTATCCATAATTTGTTATGATCCACAAAGTCGAATGCCTTTGCATAGTCAATAAAACACAGGTAAACATCCTTCTGGTATCTCTGCTTTCAGCCAGGGTCCATCTGACATCAGCAATGATATCCCTTGTTCCACGTCCTCTTCTAAATCCAGCTTGAATTTGTGGCTATTCCCTGTCAATAATACTGCTGCAACCGCTTTTGAATGATCTTCAGCAAAATTTTGCTTGCATGTGATAGTAATGATACTGTTTGATAATTTCCACATTCGGTTGGATTACCTTTCTTGGGGATAGGGATAAATATGGATCTCTTCCAGTCAGTTGGCCAGGCAGCTGTCTTCCAAATTTCTTGCCATAGATGAGTGAGCACTTCCAGTGCTGCATCTGTTTGGGGAAACATCTCGATTGGTATTCCGTCAATTCCCGGAGCCTTGTTTTCTGCCAATGTCTTCAGTGCAGCTTGGATGTCTTCCTTCAGTACCATCGGTTCCTGATCATATGTTACCTTCTGAAATGGTTGAACATTGACGAATTCTTTTTGGTAGAGTGACTCTGTGTATTCCTTCCATCTTCTTTTGATGCTTCCTGCATCGTTTAATATTTTCCCCGTAGAATCCTTCAGTATGGCAACTTGAAGCTTTAATTTTTTCCTCAGTTCTTTCAGCTTGAGAAATGCTGAGCGTGTTTTTCCCTTTTGGTTTTCTATCTCCAGCTTTTTGCATATGTCATCATAATACTTTACTCTGTCTTCTGGAGCCGCCCTTTGAAATCTTCTGTTCAGCTCTTCTACTTCCTGATTTCTTCCATTTGCTTTCGCTGCCCTATAAGAGCAAGTTTGAGTCTCTTCTGACATCCATTTAGTTCCTTTCTTTCTCTCCTGTCTTTTTAATGACCTCTTGCTTTCTTCATGTATGATGTCCTTGACGTCATTCCACAACTCATTGGTCTTCAGTCATTAGTGTTCAATGCGTCAAATCTATTCCTGAGATGGTCTCTAAATTCAGGTGGATATACTCAAGGTCATACTTTGGCTCTCATGGACTTGTTCGAATTTTCTTCAGTTTCAACTTGAACTTCCATGTGAATAATTGATGGTCCGATCCGCAGTCAGCCCCTGGCCTTGTTCTGACTGATGATACTTAGGTTTTCCATCTTCTCTTTCCACAGATATAGTCTTTGATTCCTGTGTATTCCATCTGGTGAGGTCCATGTGTATAGCTGCCGTTTATGTTGGTAAAAAAAGGTATTTGCAGTGAAGAAGTCATTGGTCTTGCAAAATTCTATCATGCAATCTCTGGCATTGTTTCTATCACCAAGGCCATATTTTCCAACTTCCGATCCTTCTTGTTTCCAACTTTCGCATTCCAGTCAGCAGTAATTATCAGTGCATCCTGACTGCATGTTCGATCAATTTCAGACTGCAGAAGTTGCTAAATAATCTTCAGTTTCTTCATCTTTGGCCTTAGTGGTTGATGCGTAAATTTGAATAATAGTCATATTAGCTGGTGTTCCTTGTAGGCGTATGGATATTATCCTATCACTGTACTTCAGGATAGATCTTGAAATGTTGTTTTGATGATGAATGCAATGCCATTCCTCTTCAGTCAGTTGTCATTCCTGGCATAGGAGACCATATGATTGTCCGATTCAAAATGACCAATACCAGTCCGTTTCAGCTCATTAATGCCTAGGATATCGATGTTTACGCGTTCCACTTCATTTTTGACGATTTCCAATTTTCCTAGATTCATACTTTGTACATTCCAGGTTCGGATTATTAATGGATGTTTGCACCTGTTTCTTCTCATTTTGAGTCACACCACACGTCTTAGTCATCTAGTGCTGCTATAACAGAAATACCACAAGTGGAGGGTTTTGACAAAGAGAAATTTATTTCCTCACAGTCAAGTAGGCTAGAAGTCCAAATTCAGGGTGTCAGCTCCCGGGGAAGGCTTTCTCTGTTGACTCTGGAGGAAGGTCCTTGTCATCAATCTTCCCCTGGACTAGGAGCTTCTCTGCGCAGGAACCCCAGGTAAAAAGGACACGCTCTGCTTCTGGCACTGCTTTCTTGTTGGTATGAGGTCCCCGATTCTCTGCTTGCTTCCCTTTCCTTTTGTCTCCTGTAAGATAAAAGGTGGTGCAGACCACACCCCAGAGAAACTCCCTTTACATTGGATCAGGGATGTGACCTTAGTAAGGTGTTACAATCCCACCCTAATCCTCTTTAACATAAAATTACAATCACAAAATGGAGGACAACTACACAATACTGGGAATGATGGCCCAGCCAAACTGATACACACATTTTTGGGGGGACGTAATTCAATCCATGACACCGCATCAGCAAATTAAGGTCCAGAAATCTTGACTCCATCCACATCGTTAAGGTTGACTCTACTTTGAAGAAGCAGCTCTTCCTTAGTCATATTTTGAGTGCTTCCAACCTAAGGGGCTCATCTTCTGGCACTATATCAAACAATGTTCTGCTGCTACTCATAATGTTTTCACTGGCTAATTCTTTTCAGAAGTAGACTGTCGTGTCCTTCTTCCTAGTCTGTGTCCCCACACGTCTTGTCAGTTTGTCGTACTGTGGGGGCTTGTGTGTTCCTATGATGCTGGGAGCTATGCTACCAGTATTCAGACACCAGCAGGGCTACCCACGGCAGACAGGTTTTTCTGAAAGATTACAGCCATTGAAAACCCTATGGAGCACAGTTCTACTCTGACAGGCATTGGGGTGCCATGAGTTGGAATTGACTCAATGGCAACTGGTTAGGAAGGATATGACTGGCACTAACTTTTCCCCTATATGAATATCCTTCTACCACATCTGAAACCCAAGGTGCCAATGTTGTTTCTACTGTGAGGAGTGTCAGGATTACTATAACCTCTTTTCTTCTTATTAATGCTTATGACAGGTTGTTAGCTTTGATGATGCCATAATGCTTTGTTTGTGGGGTCATCTGATGTCACTTGTATCTTTAGGAAGAATCAGTTTTTAAACAAAGTGAACCTCAGATTGTATAAAACCTGATTTCTGAAGCAATTTTCTGAGATAACAGGGATGAAGATCTCTAAAATAAAATATACTTGGAAACTTTTCCTATCAGCTTTCTTCCTTCATTGGGATATGTGGGATTTAACAACTGGGCTGACACCTGATATGCTTCTGGATGATTCCTGGCCAAGAGCATCCAAACATTTCTAAGGACACATCAGTTTGTACGATAAAGGGAAAACCAGCCCATTTCTGGCAATAGGGTGAAATAGGGGAAGAAGTGTGTTTAATATGATACCATATAATAATTAGGGTATTTTAAAGATCTTTTTCTTCTATGACCACATTTCACATTGGGGAAGTTCCCAGGGAACATTATGATCCATCTTAAGAGTGGGAACGATGGCATTCTACACTGCTCTTATATTTAAACCTTAACTCACTGAAATTTCTAAAAAGAAACCCCAGTCAATAAAATGACAAGATTTTAAGCTTTCATTCTGGTAAAGTCAAAGCCTTCTACTTAACATATCAGCCAAGTTAAAGTTTTTAGAGAGAACACGAGGTGTAAGCCTTTGGCTTCCATTTTCCTCTTTAAAAACCCATGACATTTTCAGTTCTGGAACAGCCCTTCAAAATGAAGCTTCTGACAAATGTTGGCAGAACTGGTGCATTCCTTGAATAAATTCTGTATGCTGAACTTTCCTTACCCAATAATCTCTAGGTTGGATGACCATAAAGCTGCCTACCCACAAAATAGGCTGAAGGCTGGGCCTGACAGAATGTGTTAAATTCATATTATAAGATACTGGTATATTAAAAAAAAAAAAAAATCACGCCCAGGGCCAAATCTTTGGGCAAATTTAGATTTCCATAACAACCATAACTATTATTGATACACGTGAGCTGAGTTTATGGAGTAAGGGAGTGGAAATCACACACAACAGAAAAACTTCAAAAATGTCTCTCCCCTTTCCGGCAAGTTTCAGCTTTACAAATCCAAATAACCCTTGCCTGTAAAATATCAAAATGTTGTCTGCTCTCAGTTCTCATCCCGTTGCAGAAGGAAACCTGTGTCTCTCAAATTAGGAATATAAGAAGCCTTTCTGGCTGGGGAAGACCAGAAAGCAGCCCCGTGGTAAATTCTACCTGGCCCAAGGGTATTCGAAAGGAAAACCTGGCAACCATACACCTGTGGTTGGAAAAACAAATCAAACAGAAAGAAACCCAAAGATAAGCACATCACCAGGATTTCGTAGTATAAACTGACAACGCTGACACGGTCAGAACCGGAACCACGCTTCCTGAGCTTCTTCAGCACTGAAGGTACGCGGCGAGCTCAACGCGGCCGCTCGCAAGCGTGCGGTAATCGTCCGTATCTACAGCGCTATTCACCGCACCCGCCCCTCCCCCAGCGTGCCAGCCAATCCCCTCGCGCCGTCTCCTTCCCATCGGAGGCCCCGCCCCCGCGCCCGGGATGCTGGGCCCCCGCGGCGTGACGCGAGCACGGCAGCTCCGCCCCCTGCGTCTTTGGCCTCGCCGGCCTAGTGGGGGATGGTTCCATCATGGCGTCAATGCAGGTGAGGGGAGTTTGCTGCGGCTGGGCGGGCGAAGGAGCCGCCGAGAGCGTGCCATCATTCGGGCAGGGGCGCCGCCTGCGGCTCGGGGGTATCCGGGCGGGCTCGGGAGCAGTCCTACTGGTCGGTCTTTCCTCAGTTTCAGGGTGTTGGGGAGGGGTGAGAGGCGGCGAGGGGAAGGGCGGGTGACGGGAGGTCTCAGTCGGTCGCAGCGGACACCAGCCGGCCGGGAAGTTGGGGGATAAAGAAGGGTTAGAGGAGGAAAGGTCGAAGTTTGGCCTTGGCTCCGCCACAGTGCTTTCGGAATCGCCTCCTCGCACACACAAACGGCCTAAGCCGGCCGCCGGCCCGCCCGAGGGATGCCTTTCCCTCCGCGGTCCCCGGCCGGCGGAAACAGCTGCTCTGGCCGTTATCGCTGGGGCAGCAGCGGCTCTGAAAGGGGCTGAGTGTGGGGAAGCTGGAAGGACCTTCCCTGAGAAGGCGGCTGGCTGTAGAATGCGCTTCGCGGCCTCTGCTCAGGCCTCCCACGTCTGGCTTCTCTTGACTGCTCGGCACCTTCTGTGTCCCTCTGACTCTTAATGCCCCTTGGGTACCTTCTCCTAGGAGTCACGGCACTCTCACGAACGTTCCCCCAGCCGCCCACTTTCCCACCTCAGCTCCAAGCTGCCTTTAGTCTGGTCACATCACTTGCCGCCTATTTTGCAATCTTCCGGAGAGCCGAGATCCACTAGCCCCTTCTGCCTCCCGGGATAGCTCGCCCTCTAAGAATATTTTTCCTCTGGTGCCCCACCCTTGCGGTCGCGGTAACGCTGTAGCCTTTACCCTTATTGTCTACACCTTTAGTGGAACCTTAGTTTGCTAGGAGGAGTGTGTGACCTGTGCCCTATTACCTGACTTGTCAGTGCGTGGTTTTCCGGCTTTCCAACGTAATTTGCTCCCTGTTTTCCAATTCCAAAGAGGAATTTGTTTTTTTAGGCTAAGATGGCAACCACAATTGTAGTTTGTAGAGATTGACTCTGCATTATCCGTAGCCTGCATTTAATTCACAGATGAAGACTAGCGGTATCAAAACTTAGCGAGAGAAGGTAGAACTCTCATTAGGAATGTCAACTGAATGCTGTTTAGAGTTTTAAAAAGCAACCCCTTAAGTGAAGAAGAAGACCGCGTTTTTCTTAGAAGGATTTTTTGTTTTTGTTTGTAGAAGAAAAGCAAGTCTCTCTATACTCTCAGTTTTTTTTCACCTTTTCTGTGCGAGCGCAGTATTTTTCTTACATCTCTTTTTTTCTGCATCATTTTCTTTTTTTGTGCACATCATTTCTTTGCTCCACATTTGCTTTTGTGTTTTTATCTTACACCTTTCAATCTGTTTTTCATACGATATTGTTACCTTTGCTTTTCCCTATGGACTCTCTTGCAGAACAGAAAAGAAATTGTATGTAACATTTCTGGTTGAAGAGATGTCACGAAACAGTGGAGGGAAAAAACAAGAACAATTTCAGGAAACATACACTAGTCTCCGCAAGAGACGTTAGAGAAGTTTCGTCATTTCAGGCCAAAAAAGGAACTGTGGAACACTTTAGAATTGAACAGTAGAAGGGCTATGTGACCAGTTTAAGATTACGATTGTATTAAGATTAAAACATTCTTTTAAAAAACAATTAAAATCCACAACACTTGTGTGATTGTATTTGACAGGTGAGGATAGTGTTACAGGGATTGTAACTAAGGGTTAGCTGGTTAGATTTAGACTTCAATCATCTGGAAAAGGGAGATTTCAGTTGTTGAGAGAAAAAACCCAACCTGGTAAAGAACTTAATGTTAATAATCTTAAATTTTACATGGCTAATTAAGCAGTAAGGAGCCCTATTGGTGCAGTGGTTAAGCGTGACTACTAACCGAAAGGTCAGTGGTTCAAATCCACCAGCCTCTCCACAGGAGAAAGATATGGCAGTCTGCTTCCATAAAGATTACAGCCTTGGAAACCCTCTGGGAAAGTTCTGCTCTGTTCTGTAGGGTCACTATGAGTCAGAATCGACTCGAAGGGCGAGGGGTTTGATTTTTTTCTTTTTTTTGGTACTTAAACAATGGACAAAAATACTTGCTAGTGCAATATTGCATTTTTCTGTGTCACAAGTACTACCTCAGTCTGTCTTACCACTTTTCTTTATTCCTTTGTGTCTTGGTGAATAGAGGAATGGAAAACAGATGCTTCCTATTTTAAGTAAAACACAACTAAATCTTTCCCTTTTGTGTTTTTAAAATATCTGATACAGATTTTCTGGTAGAATCTTAAAAAATATTTTAATATAGATGGGTCAGACTTTTTAAAACAACACTTATGCGTGTTGGGTGAACAAAGTTTTTTTCCCTGATGGTCTTAATAGCAAAGTTTAACTCTTTCTAAAACAACTAAATTATACATAAAGCAATAACCAAAGTATTAAATTTGTTCCTTCACGGAACAGTTGTTTTTTGAGGTCCCCGTATGTATCCCCAGCACTCGTCTAGATGTTGCGGATCTAGCAGTGAACAAAAGCAGAGGAGATCGCTGCCCTTGTACATATATTAAGTCTAGTTGGGGGAGACAGACATTGACAAATACTTAAGTTAATTGTGTGTTAAATTAGAAGGTAAAAAGTGCTGTGAAGAAAAATATAGAGTGGATGGAGGTTTGGCAGTAGATATTTTTGGGATTTCACTTAGGGTGATTAGGAAAAAGTATGTTGTAACAGATTGCTGCTGGGACCATGTCCTCATCTAAAAAAGCTTTTAGTAAATTTCTTTATTTTACCCACACCAGGATGTTACTGCTGCTAAAGAAGTTATTTAAGCTGTAAGAGGAACTGTATTTTAAAAACATACATATTATACAAACATAACATGTGATTTGATTACTTAAATTGATAAACAGGGAAAAATAAATGAGTCTTTAGGAACAGTGCACTAAAAATTAGGGATAGACTTTGAATTTCTCATTGGAGACTATTTTAAAGGAGAGATTGTGACTAATGTATTCTACCAGTGCTTCCCAATTTTTTTTCAGGTCATGGCACACATAGAAAAGTTTTGAATAGCATACTGAGATGAATGAGGTTGGAGGCTGGAAGCCCCTGGCCAGGCTCTGTGCTGTCGAGTCGATTCCAATTCATAGAGACTGTATAGGACAGAGTAGAACTGCCCCATAGTGTTTCCAAGGTTCTAAAAGTTTATGGATGCAGACTGCCGCATCTTTCTCCCGTGGAGCGATTGGTGGGTTCGAACCACTGACCTTTTTGGTTAGTGGCAGAATGCTTTAACCACTGCACCACCAAGGCTCCCGGGATCCTGGGGAATCAATATTCTGGCATACCTGTTACGTCGGGAAGTTCTGCTCTATGTTATATTGCTAGAGTTGTACTTCAACGTACAGTTCAAGGTTGTCGTTCTCAAACTTATGTGAGCCCTCTGAGACTTACTTTCCTGTTTTTTTGTTTTATCTTCCCACTCTTTCTTCCTGTGAACAAAGTCACGAATCACCAAGTTAGATTATGTTTTAAGAAATCATTCTTAAACAGTCATGGTGATACTTAGAGTTGGCAGGATTTAGACTACAGAAATAGATCTAAATTTAATTTTGGTAATTCTGGAAATCTTGAAATATTAAATGGAAGGTTGTTTGTAGCACATTTTTAGTATTAGCATTTCAGGTACTCTGATTATTTGGTACAAGTTTCCTATCAAACTAAAAAATTATTTTATCAAAGTTAATTTTTATATGATTCTAAACATTTCTTAAAATTGTAGCAGTATTGAAGTATGTGTTTTCAGCTAAACTATAAAAGTATATTTTTTTAATGTTTATATAGTTAATATTTATTTTCTTCTTTTTCCAGTGACTCATTTCATATTGTGAAATACTTAATTTGACCTCCTGGATATATTTTCTGATTTTAGAATTTAGTTGTTTCATTCAGACTTCTCTTATATTACAAGTTTTTAGGTATACCTGGTATGCTTTTCTAGTTTAACCATCTAGATTAATTTTAGATATGGACTGTTCCCTTTAGACTCCTCTTCCTTTGTTGTTTAGTTGTGATTGAGTTGATCCCTTATATAACATCTTAAAATTTTAGAAAGTGCATAATAGCTGATGTTTGTCAACTCTGAAAACAGTGATTTAATTGGGAGAAATAGTCAATTGAGTCACTTTTTTATGAATTTTCTTTCTTTCCTAGCTAGATCTTAGGCTATTGACTGTTGATCTGGCTAGATGGAAGGAGACTGAGATTTCGTAACAGGAGATGGAGTATGAGTGTTGCTTATTTCTTATTTTCAGATGACTTGAAAATAGTTATTTTGAATTATTCAAAACTTGCATTGCTCTTTACTCAAGTAATTGGCTGTAGTGATTAATAGGTACAGGATGCGCTTATTAATATTACTATTATGATGGTCACGTTGACTTGATGATTAGATACCATATGCCTGTTTCTTGATGTCATTATGAAGGGTTACAGAATAATCAAAAGTTGGTAAATTGATTGCCCTCTTGGATCTCAAGGCTCATTGAGCAATGGGAACTTGCGCAGTATGGCCAGAATTACAGAATTTGAAAAACTTGGTTCGATACTCTGGCTAGGAATAGGGCTGTCTGGGAGCTTTTGGAGCAGGGGTCAAGGATAAGGATAATAGCGTAGACTAGAACTGAAGGTATTCTGTGTGAGTGATAAACGTAAGTAGATGGTAGACCACATGTGAACAAAAGCATAAAGCTATGGTAATCCTCTTTCAAAACAATCATTGGAGAAACCTATTAAGCAATTCTATACTATGAAGCGGTTGTTTACCTATAATGGAATAACTTAAAATTCACATTTCTATTACATATATTTCAAAAAAAAAGTTGATTTATTTTCTTGATTTGTGTGTTTGCTGTAACTTTAATGTTTTCTAAAGTATTTTTATATTCTTTCTGGATTCTTATTCCAACTTGTAAATGGAAAGTCAAATAACCCTATTTCCTT